TCCCTGGGCAGAAAATTCCAGAGCTTTATCACTCTTCCAATGAATTTTTTTTCCTAATATCCAACCTATATTTCCCTTGACACAGCTTGAGCCATGATCAGTCCTGGAGTAACATCCATCCTTGTTCATCCTACAGCTGTGCATGACCCCCCAAAAATGTCAGAGCATGATTCCCCCACTATTCTACAACCCTCTCACTTTGGTGATGGACCTGATCTGGCCAAAAGCTCCCAAATGTGAATGATGGAGGAGGAAGTCAGCTTGATCCCTAATGAGATAGTCCTGACAAAATCAGGTAGGAGGATTTATTTTCCCTTCACACAAGTAGATATCAGACCAGAATGTGCCAGTTATAAATCTTATTTGAATGGAGTAACATAGCTCTCTTCCATCTGATGATTTGGCTCTTCATTTCTCACTGGTAAGAAATTAATACACTTTTATTGATAGAAATAAAAAAAATGCTCTTAAGACAGTTCATCAGTTTGGATTAAGATGGGAAAACTTAAATGAAAACCACAAAATTTAAATTTCACATCAGAGATTGAGAGCAATGTCCTTCCTTCTTTCTTATCTCTCTGACCCTTTTGCTGTTCATTTTTTCCTATACTGGAGATTATTGAAACAAAAGTGAGTCAGTGGACTCTGGTTGCACTGTGCTGTTTAAAGATAGTTTTGTGCTCTTCTTATAGCAGGGGACAGGAAAGAACCTGACATTTACCTCTGCTGTTTGCCAAGAGCCAGCTGGTCTGACAGCATATGTGTATTAGCAGGACAACTGGCAAAGCCAAGCTTTGCGTAGCACGTGCTCATTTCTTGCAGTGAGGGGGTCAGAAACCTGGCACAATAAAAGATGGAGATACTTTAAGATTTTGAGGAGAATGTATAGAAAATATAGGACAGAAATCCACAGAAAGGTGAGTCTTTTAATGCTGTTCATAGAGGAGCTTATTCTGTGCATAACTGAATATGGAGGTCCATTAAAATGAGCTTTCCCAGAAAAGCTGCAGTACTTTGACTGTTTTAGTCTCTCATACTTAAATAATTTTGAATTGATTCTTGTTAGCACAGAAAAGTCTATGGCTGAAAGGTTTTTCTTCCCTCTCTTTAAATCTGTGGTGCAAAAAATGATGTCTCTCATTCTCATTAGCATAGGGTTTTTTCTGGGAAAGGGTTTGACCTTCCAGAACCAAGATGAACTTACCAAGAGAAGAGGTAATAAAGAATTTGGGTGCCTTAAGTTAATACCTGATTGTAAGACAGAGTTCCTAGCAGAGGGATGTTGTTACAGACTAACTCAAAGAGTGGAAATTAGGAACCTAATTTTATTGCATTTGCTGGAACCTTCTTCTCTGAGCAGGAGGAGAGGGGTAGCAGTGCCCAGACCTGTTTGGCATGAGAAACAAAGAGCTTGGAAACCATTTATTGCCTGAAACTGTACTCTGCTGGTCAGCAATCCACTTTTCCCTTTAGCACTGGAAGATGGCATCTCTAATTTCCATTTTCCTGACACTGAAGTGGCTCTAGGATGAAATATAAAGGCACAGAAGGCTAAGAAGGCACATCTGAGCCAGCATGCAGGAGGTCTGTGTGACAGCCAGAGCCAGCACCTCCTCTGCTGTGCTCCAGTCCCACATCTAAGCACACATAATTTCCCAAGTCTCTATCATTATGGTCATTTACTTGAGCAATTTAGATTGAGTCATTAAAATGCTTCCCCTTCGTCTTCCCAGATGAGGCACGTTTAATGGGTGTATTACATAAACTCTTACCTACCAGGACTGCTCTGAACTCATATAAAGGGCAGCTCAGCTCTGTTCCACCACATTTTTCTAAGCATCCAAGTCCCATTTTGAAGGTGCCAAGTCTTTTAATTACTATTCTGGTCACTTTTTGAGTTTCATTACAATTTCTAATGATACAGTTTTCAGAGGGAATCTGGAGATAAAGCATGGAAGAGCTTAGGCAATTTTTCAAGAGATAACCACTGTCACCTTACAGAGAAAAAAAAAAAAATAAAGTAAATGTCCTCAGTGAATTAGAATATTTTGAAACCCCTGAATTTTTGCCTCCTAAAAAAAAAAAAAAAACTCCTGAAACTTAGTATTTGGAAATAACATTAAAAAAATGTCCAGGAAGGGGATGTGAGATGGATAACAGGGTATTATTTAAGCTTATTTGCTCAGTATCTTACTTTTACAATTTCAACTTGTATGTGCTGTCCATGCAGGTGTAACTCATCAAATTATCTTGTAATTTACAGCTTTATAATTCCCTGCAACTAATAACAGGCACAAGAATTAAGGTTTTAACTGAAAAAGTGGAAGATCTTGTGGCAACTTGTGCTCACTCCTTCCCTTTTCACCCCTGCTAATCCCATTAGGTGCTTTGTTATGTCACACTCAGAGGATGTTATTCCTTTATTCTTACACCAGCCTGTGCTGTGGGCAGTAACCTGGAGCCTCCCTCCTCTCACCTCCTCTTGCTCTTTTAATGGGAAACGGGGAGTTTTTATCAGGAGGAAAGAAAACATTAAGGAGCCAGCACACAGCATCATCATCACTGCACTTTTGCAGCACTGAAGGCAAATATTCCAAGATAATTTGCCATTAATATAAATTAGACCACATCCTGTGGCTGTTGCTCTGGATTTAGGCAGACCAAGGTCAAAGGATATCACAAAATACAGGATTTGGACCCTTTTGCTGTGTTAGCTCCTTCTGTACCATTGGGATTTTCCTTTTAAGAGGGACCCACATTGGAAATGCAGACTACGTAAGACTTGACCCACTTTTGGGGAAGAGATGTTATTATACATTACCTTACAAGGCTCTTAAGATATTTTTGGCCACTCAATACATAATGAAAAAATATATTCAATACTTTAATGCAGCATATTTCTTAATAGTATAAATGGGTCAAGGCACCACACCCACACTGACTTTAGATAATGCTCATTTTTTCTGCTTGTTTCCATGTCTTTTTTTTTAATAATTAGTAAGATTTCTAAAGCATTTACAGTGTCAAATAAATCACAGGTTTGAACTACTCTGACAGCATTTTACTGTTGACTAAGTTGAGATATTATCAGTAACAGAGTTGAGCACCTTGTGGGATGGCCTTTATTGGCCTTCAGAAAATCAGACGCTTAATGGTAAATTTTGCTTTTTTTGTTGCTTCTTTCCACATCTGGAACATCTTTGTTTTGTCATTTGCTCTTATGATTTCTGTGACTGCTCCCTCAAACGTGGTCACACCTAGTGCAGCAGTTACAGATATTCTTAGCACTTGTGTCTTTTTCACTGGTACATTTACACCTGTTGGGCCTTCAAAGCAGTTGTGCTACACAAGCTGACTCCCAGTTTTACATATATTTTCCAATTTTAATGTATTTTTCATTTCTAGAGCCCAGCTGATTGTCTGATGGCTCAGTGACAGCAGAAATCTCTGGACACAGAATCAGTCTGTATACTCCCAAAACATGCTGGCATTCAGAGAAAATAAATATATAATAAAAAGCACCTGATAAATGTTGTTTTTCCACTCTCAGCACAAAGCAGTGCAGTAAGAGACACACCTAAATTTGTGCTCTAGCAAGTACCTTGTCCTTGAGCCAAATATCCTTTAAGAGAGTCAGGGCTCCCCATAAAACACTTGTTTTCTCATCAGCTTTATATAAATAGGCAATTTCCCGGAAGCACTTTCCATTTTACTCCTTATTACTTCAAACTCTCCCAAACCCATATGCATTTATAACCTGCTAACGTGAAAAAATATTGAAGCATTAAAATAAAAGTATAAAATAGGTATATCTGGATCCTTCAAGTCAATTGCAAAAGCTGTATTAATGTCAGTGTGCGTGGGTGGAAGGAAAGAGTGAAGTTATCTGGAGTTTGAATATACAAAAAAACAACAAACCAGGAGTTTTTCCTAAAATTTCATTATTAGAATCACTTTTCAGAGTTCTACTGACCACCTTTCTCTTCCATTCCTAGCTGCTTTCTGTAACTCAGACAGCTCCATGGCTTGGGGTGGAAAAGACCATGAGAAAAGTCTGTGTTCTATTTCTTTGAGCATAAAGCCTTTCACCATGTGCTGAAAAAATGTAGCTACCACTGGCTCTTGCAGTTCCTCTTGATCTTCAATCAGCTCTTTCCCAGATGCTTTTTCAGAATATTCGACCCTCCGTTGCTTTTATTTCAGTGTGCTTTCTGCTTGTTACTTGCTTTGGGATATTCCCTTTTCCTTCTTTCTCAGCAACTTCACATCACCAGAAAATAAACTGCCACTAATAAAATGTTTCCTAGTTTCCTGACAACATCCAATTATTTATTTCTGCCATGTTGTAGTTCTTGAATCACTTTTTGAGACATTACAGCACAAAGCAACAAAGGGGATGTCAGCCCCTCTGAGGAGATTCCATCAGCTGATAATCTGTGATTAAACCCATGCTCAAGTCATGTATAGGACACATCTGGGTTAATGTAAGGGAGGAATATATATGAATTTAAATTTAAGAAATTGCTTGAATTGTAATTCAGCAACTTTATTGCCTCACACAAATAAATTCCATCTTTGCCAACTCCTTTTCCAGCTTAAACATCTTTTCTTCTGATGTAAAAAAATCCCAAATCTGAAAATACCCAGTCCTTTCAATACCTCTGAAGAAAAAGACTAAACTGCCAACTTGGTAAATATCCCCTGTAAAAATACACTTTTTTTTTACTTACAGTGGTGCACCTGCAGAAAATTAAATGAGTTCCTTATGTGGGGCTTCTCAATGATGTCTGCAGGATAAGTCTGCACTATTTTTACATCTTTGCTTTTGAGATTTCACCTGATTCTTATTTACAAAGGACTAGATGCAATTCCCTGTATCCACTTCGATTTTACTACTGAAAAAATTAGATTTTACTACTGAAACAAACCCCAGCACCAATAACATTTTTTGGCAATTGCTGGTGCTTGTTGATTTCCCATTCAGAAACCACTAGAAAAGGTTTCACTGATGTTAAATGACTTTTATTTTTCAATCAATGCTATACAGAGTAGCAAACAAAGTCAATTAAAATAAGAATACTGTATCTAATGACATTACTTATTTATAAGACTAAAGCTATGTCCTTGTGGGTTTATGGTTATGCAGATCTAAGTTACAGCATTTGAAATGATCCTTCATCTTGACTTCAGCAAATAAGAAATATTTTTTAAAAGCCTGGAAAATCTTTGTTTGGACAGAAATGGCTTTGTTTTGACATATTTATAATACAAAACAAAGCTAAAAGATTTGTAGGAACTGTCATAGCAACATGTTTTGCTTTAAATTGCCAAAATTCTGTTAAGGAAATCACTCAGGTTTTATAAAATATTTAATGCAGTTTGCATGAAGAAATCAAGAAGTGGAATGGATCCTAGTTTCCTGTCAGAGAAATTCCCCAGTTAGGACAGTGGTAGTTTTTTCCCCCTACATTATTTCAAGTCCTGTGACCACTCTAGTTTGCTGTGTTCCTTCAATATTTCTGAGCAAGTTCACCAATACCATGAAAAAGCATTTTTTGTTTTATTTCTTTAGGCGTTTTTGTTTGTTTGTTTTTGTTTTTTGTTTTTTTTTTTAAGGGGCAGTTCATTCAGCTGTTATTCAAATAGGAAGAATGATTTGAAAATGTCAATATTCCTGCAGTGCCATTCCCATTTGAGGTGTGCTTGACATAAGGCCTGGGAGCCCTTAGGTACCACTTGATCTGACTGACCAAGAGCTGCATAATTCAACTGAAATGTCCACAGCATTTCTGATACTGAAATCAAAGTTTTTTATCTAAATGTGGCACCCTTGTTTTACAAGGAGCATTCTTCTCACGCTTCTCAGGTCCATGTGGGTTTTTGGAATATCATTTTCCTTCTTTGTGAAATTACCTCCATCTCCAGCCTGCTGCTGGATAACTGCAAAACCCTGGGATCATCCACACACACAACACAAAAAAGAGTTATTTAATGAGGACAGGGCAAAGGGGTGTGAAATACTCCAGGCATATTGCTCATCATCCATTAATATGTTCAGAATGAAAAACACCTGAATTTTATGTTGCTATATTGTTGTGTAGACGAGAAAAGATTTCTTAGTTGAAGTACATGACCTTTAGTGGAAAAAAAAAGGGTTTGACCTTTCTAAAAAAAATAATTAACAAGGAAGACACTGTAAATTAGGTCAAAATGTCCATTAAGATTCATGAAAATTCTGGCTTACAACACACTGGTCATCACCAGTAGTAGCTCTTGTCATCAGATGTCTGTATTATAGTTTTTTATTTGATTTTTCCTCTTCTTTTACTTACAGAACCTACTCCATTAGAAAAATTAGCTTTCTGTCATTTTCATGACTCATCAAGGCCTCGAGGAAGAAACCAGAATCATCCAGAGTCTTCTCATTTGTGACACAGACTATTAACAACTTCATTAACTTTCTTCAGGCCATGTTTTTGTTCAAAGTCTCTTGTGCATTTTTACAGGAGTTACTGGAAAGATTCATTCTCTTGGGCTTCTGTCAAGAGAAAGAAAAAAAGAATTAGCAAATTTACATTCTTTAAGACATGGGAAATAATTCCTGTAAACATTATTGCAAGTAAAACAAATATTGGTCACTGCTTTGTGTTCAAGAGATAGAAAATACATGATTGCATTTCTTCTCATTAGGAAACAATGTATCAGAACCATCTACTTTAACCCTGGATTAAGTACAGAGAATCATTAATACAGAGCAAACCAGAAATTATAAACAAGAAGAAAAGTTTCTAAACCCAAATTTCTTGTTCTAGACTACCAATATGCAACATTATATCAGATATGCTAGACAGAAATAATCCCTGTCATGTTCTATCCTCTATAAAATCTCGTAAAGGCAACTGGCCTGAGAAAGGATCAAAATTTAGCCCAATACTCAGGACACTGAAGAACAGTACTGGGATGCTGAGGAATCCAACAATTTTCACTGTGATGAGCAAGTATTGGACAGCTTTCCATGCCACCTGTGTAAAAAGCACAACAGGATGTAATAATGGGAAAAGCAGAAGGTTTGAGGGTAGTCACTTCCCAGAAGTGAAGCAAATCCATTGGCTGCTTTCTTCAAGAGCAGAATACTGAACTGGATGTGCAGCCACGGCAGCCCAGAAACCCTTCTGCCCCTCAGACCGACAATTCTGAGGTCAGTCTTAATTTGTGACAGTTAAATTAAGATCTGGATATTAATTCTTCTCCCTATGCTTTTCTTTGGCTGGGAAAAGAATGGGATTCTAGGGACAGAGAAATTCCAGGAGACAACTTTTAACTAGTTTTGCAAAGGCATGAGGCAAAAATACATCCTGCAGTTCTGAATCTGTGCACCTTCTGCCTCGTTCCTCTGCCACCTCCTGTCCCTTCTCTCACACACTCAGCCCAGTCCCTTCCTCCTCTGGTGTCTCCCTCTCCTTGCTCTCTCCCCTGGACAAGAATTCCCTGAGGACAAATTCTGTGCACAGATGAACCACGCTGAATTACAGCCTGCATCATCGCTGTTTACCTCCGACGAGTTTCCTTAATTGAGATCCTGGCGTTGCGTGGGCTTCCCAGTCATGGACAGATTTCCTGTTGTTTTGATGCAGTGTGCAAACAGAAGAAAATAGAAGTTGTTTTCCAAGGAGCCAACAACATCAGCAGCACGAGGCAGGAAGTGTTTACAAACAACAGATGGGACACAAGCAGCTCCAAGGTGGCGGTCAACGTGGGCAACAGAACTCTCTGCCTAAGAGCTGCTTGTCAAACAAGGGGTTTGTAGGAAAGAAGAGCTCTGAGGACAGAGAGAAAATGATTTTTTCCTGATATATGTACAATTAAGAAAGCTTTGAGGTAGAGAAATGGAGGCAGCTTTAGAGAAGTCGAGTCAGTTACTCAAGAAGAGCAGAGAAGATAAATTTTCCTGAGTCTCAATCTTTGAGACAGAAACACATTTATTTATAAATGTGAGAAAAAGAGGTTATGGCATTTGAACTGAATATTCCAAATTTTGTATCACATTCTCTGAATATATGCAAAACTTCTAAACCCTTCTTTCTCTATCCCACTGTGAAATACAGTGACCAAATTAATCTACTGCGAAGTGTCCTTGCAATTAAAGGCTGAGAGATGATCTCCACAAACACACAACCCCCTGCTCTGATAACTGGTGGCATCAACTGAAGTTCAAAGGAAAATTTTAGCAAAATTTTAAGCCTGTTCCTATGGTTTTGAGAAGAAACTATTTAAGGAAAAGACCTTTTAACAGCCTGCTATGTGGGCATTGATCTAAGTCCAGCACCAGCAAACAGCAGGTGTGTTCTTTGTGTTTCTTCTGAATTTTTAAATTCAGCTTTCTGAAAGCAGTGAAGGTATCTGCCCCATCCTCTCTGGCATTAATAGACAGACCCCCTGTGTTTTTTTCCAAACAAAGTGCATCTGCTGCTTGCCTGCAAGTCTCTTCAGGGGTCTGAGGCAGGGTAAATCCCTGGATGCTCTGCCTGGCAGGTTCTTTTGAACCAGAGAAAAAGAAGGTGGCAGAGGGCACAGCAGGCAGGGGCCTCTGTGTCACAGCCCATCTTGCAAGTGACTCTATGAAATACCCAATTTGAAAATCTTGCAGGCTGGGAAGGCTTCACTGTGCTGCTCATGGAACACCCAGCACAGAAGTGTCTCACTGCACAGGAGAAAGCAGGAAATATTTTTGACATATTTACGTGAGCAATACAGTGCTCAAGTAAATGTGTCAAAAACGACACACCCAAACTGAAATACAGAAAACCCAAATGTGTTCAGGGACAGGGAGTCAATCCCTGGATATTTATGTCCACTTAAGCAAGTCCAAAAAGAAATATCTCATTATACAAGGTACTGAAATATCTTTTGAGAGCTGCTGACAACCTCCCTTTAGCACAGGTAGCCAGATATCTACATTAAAGCAACAAGTTTATTTGTCCTTAAAGATCATGAGGCCCAAAAGAAGCTTAAAGTGTTCCAAGTTCCACCTGCAGCTTTCAAAGTCTGCTTGAATTGCCTATGAGATAGATCCTCCTCAAGTTCTCTCACTCAGATATTAGTTAAATTATTATTTTCCTTAAAAACCCTTACTAATCTTCGTCTCCCTGTTCTCCAAAATTCTCTTTTTCACTAAAGCACAAATGCTGTACAAATAGGAACAGGCATTCAGGATCAGGTGGACAAGAAAGCCCATTTAGACACAGAGGTATTGAGATAATAAAAGGAGATATAAGAACTCAAAATGTTCTTGAAGCAAACAATCAAAATGGTTTTCAGCAATGATCTCTCTTGGTGTAGAAGGAAGTTCTACAACAGAAAAGATGAGTAAGAGGTGTGGAGATTTTTTTTTATGTGTACACAGACACAATGCTGAAACTTTATCCTGGGGAAAGGGGGGAAATTTCTGCTGTGGTATTCTCACAAGAATGAGATATAGAGATAAAAAGTTTTTAATACTTCAAGAAGCAGACTAAGCTATTGTAAGATTGAAAACATGTCAAATATGAAAGAAGCTGGTATTGTACAGTACTTAGATGCAAGGAAAATACAAGAAAACAGAAGAATAAAAGAGATAAATTATGTGACCGATATTACAGCAAAAACTAAATGTCCAGATAAGCCAAATGCAAGGGGGAAAATAGATAAACTGATTGTTAAAGTAAAAAAAAAAAAAAAAAGACAAAAAGCTAGAATCAGCATGAAGAAATAATATTGTGATTGTATTTATAAACATGCTCAGTTTAATTTTAGATCTATCCTCAATGCAAATCCTTCTGGCATGCTGGAAAAGATAAAAGTTTTAGAATGTTGTCCTCAGTATCAAAGTAACTTTGTCAGAGAATATGTCACATGTAATTTTATGGAGAAAATATGTATTTGCTGGATTTTAATGATGGGCAGAAGAAAATTATTTATACTACACTATATCATGTCAAGGTCCTGCCTTTCTAATGTAGTTATGAAAGAAAAAAAATTCAAAAGATGATTCAGAAAGTCGAGGTCAGATCTGTCTGGGCATCAGCAAACTATAGATTAAGATTTGAAAACCGGACTGCTGTGTGCTGAAATTTGCTGTCTGATAAATACCCTTGGAACCAACAATCTGCCTGTGAAGCCACAATTACCAGAGTTCCTTGAGCAGAGAAACTTAACCCCCCCTTCATTTCCTTCCTTGCTATCCCAGGGACCACACAGCTTTGAGTTCTTCCATGAGGAATGCACTCAGAGAGCCTAAATGCTCATCCTGCCATGTAAATCCTGTGAACTGTGCCCAGAGCTCACAAGACACCACAAAATCTCGTGTGCACCCTCCTCCTGGCTGGTCACTCAGTCCAGCCAGAGGTAATCAATGATCCTACTCCTTCCCTGATGGCCTTTTCCTTTTGCATAGCTAAGGGCTACTCCATCTATAGGAGGCCAATGAGCACAGTCAGAGGCTTCATCTTGAAAAACAAACCGCTTAATAACTCGGTTCTAGATCGTGACAGGCAGTTCTACATTTGACACAGAATTAAAAAAAAAACAAAAACACAAAAAACCCACAAAAAAGCATCCATGCATATTTCCCTTAATTTCTTCATTATTTCTTCCTTTAGTCTGTGTTGCTAGTCCAAGTGCCCAATACCTCCATGGGTTTGGTGGTGTTTCTTCTCTCTCTGTAGCTGGATGTTGGCAGGGGGAGATCTCATGGTCAAAAGCATTTGTTTGGAGCTGCCAGTTGGCCTCCCTTGGCTGGTGTGAGCTACATTCACTCACTGAGCAGCTTAGCAGCTTATCTCAGTTTTTAGCAAACAATGGTACCAAATTCAGTTTTCTTCCTTTTCTTTGAGACAGTGATTAAAATAAGGGTGATTTCAAAAATCACTTAATAACCTAAAGGAAAGAAAGAAATGACAGCCGCTTTCAGGACCATGAAAAAAGGAAGTTCATACAGCTTTTCCAGATCTTCAGATTTCTTCATGGCATTCTGGGAGATCTCTTAGCAACAGTCCAGCAATCCACATCTTCTGTCTCACATAAAAGTGATCTGGATTAGGTAAGTAATCTCATTTATTTCCGAAATAGATGCAATTTCAACAAAAACATACAAAACCAGCTGAATGAGTCCTTAGGTGGAAATTTACAAGAGATGCATTTGGAGCCTTGCTACTGGTGAAGGGGAGAAATCGTATTTTTCATAATCACGCTTATTTAATTTTTGTGGTCTTACGCATACACTATAGCTCATGCTCATTTCAGTTGATGCCTTGAGGAACATTTAGTTGACATTCAATTAGCAAAGTAATGCACAGTGATAAAGCAGTAGGTAATTTACCAGGTTCTGTTTGGGAACATTCCTTTTTTCCATTAATATTCACAACACGCCAGCCAGTTCCAAAGGAAGACACTGCCCATACCTAGAACAACCAGCAATCCAAAACATTTGGTTTACAAAAATATAGGCAAGAAACAGAAGGTCTGTAGGTAACAGTTTCCTAACATCACACAGCCCCATTTAACAGGGTGGGAAGGACAACAGCAGCACCTAGAAAAGGAATTTGGTGCCATCTGGAAACCTATTAAAGCACAAACTAAATCCCCAGTTTGCCTTGCACCAAGAATTTGCATCTCATCATAAAGGGGAGGTCAGCCTAGCATGGTCTCTGTTCACACCTGACACTGTGAGGTTAAAATAATTCAAAGTATTTCTGTACACTACTGACTGTGACTACTTCCATCTATATGGCTGCACCAAGTATGTGCCATGAAGCATCTGGTCACATTTAAATGCATATTTAAATGAGTTCTTTCCTAAGAATTTTCCTTTTTCCCATCTTCAATCCCTGAGAGAAGGTTCCTCTGCAGCTTTGCTCCTCGCTTATTCCCTGTAAGCATGAATATAGATCCTGATTATATTTTTATAGGAAGAGAGAAGAAAAAGACTGGAAATTGCTGTCTCTACTTGGGGCCTAACAGGCACCTATACCACTAACATCATTCCCATACAGGCTAAGGCAGGGCAATTGTTTTGGCAAGATCCCTTGCGAGCCTAAAACTGTCAAGCAAAGGTAAAAGCGCAGGAGGACTCCTCCCCCTCTCCTCCTTGTTGAGTTTACGTAGAAGCCAGGGAAGCAGATGGATGCCACAAGAGGTGCAAAGGATGCCTGGAAAAACAGCCCGTCAGTGGGATTCGTGCTGCATGGGAACGGCAAAATCCCTTGGTGACACCCACGCTGCGCAGGGATCCTCCAGCACTGGGGCTCACGGCGCTTCGGGCTCAGCGCCTTTGGAGCAGGATGGTGGCAGCACGTTCTGTCCAAAAGAGACAGCAGAAAGTGCTGCCAGCATAGCGGGAAAAAAAGATAAATACAAGGTTGGTAAGGTTGAAATAAAGAAATGAAAGTGCAAGGCTTTGCAGAGAGGACCAAACCCTATTTGGTGCACAGAATTGGCAAATCTCAGGATCAATTAGGTTGGAAAAGACCTCTGAGATTCTGGAGGCAAACCAACGACCCACCACCAGTCTTGCCTTAAACACCTCCAGGGATGGTGACTCCACCACCTCGCTGGGCAGCCCATCCCAATGTCTAATCACCCTTTCTGTGAAGAAATCCCTCCTAATGTCCAACCCGAACATCCCCTGGAGCAGCTTAAGGCTGTGACCTGTCACCCTGCGAGCGGAGCCCGACGCCCACCTGGCTTCACCCTCCCGTCAGGTGGGGCTGCCGAACACCCAAGGAAGAAAGGCCATACACAGAGTTTGTGGAGTTGAAGAGAACAGGAGAACTGAGGCTCCTGCAGTCAGTCCCGCCGGTACATCCATAACCCAGCGAGGCTCTGGAGGCAGCGCAGGGAGCACGACAGGAGCGCACCCGGACAGCGCCTCCAGCCCCTCGCCCCGGCCCCGCGGCCGCTCTCCCGGCGCTGTCCCTGCCGGCACTGCCTGCAGAGAACCGCGGGATGCTTTGGGCTGGAGGGACACCCCGAAGCCCATCTCCTTCCATGGGCACGGACACCTCCCACCGTCCCGCGTCGCTCCAAGCCCGTCCAACCCAGCCTTGGCCACTTCCAGGGATGCGGCCACCACAGCTTCCCTGGGGAACGCGTGCCAGGGCCTCACCGCCCTAATACAGAGCGATTTCTTCCTATTCCCTAACCCAAACGCGCTCTCTTTCAGTGCGAGCCCATTCCCCTGCGCTGTCACACCGCGCTCTCGCAAGCAGCCTCTCCCCATCACTCCCGCGCCTCCCGCACCGGGCCGCGTCCCCCGCTCCGGCAGCGCCCGTGGGCCGCTCTCAGCCCCCCACCTGCCGCGGCCGTGCCCGCTCCGTACTCACGGCCGGCCTCGGAGCCGGGAAAGCGGCGGGTCCATCCCTCCCTCCCTCGCCGGCAGCGCCCGGCGGCGCAGGCGCGCTGCCGCCTCCTCCCCCCGTGGCTGTGGCGGGGCGGCCGCGGCGGCAGCGCCCGGCTCCGCTCAGAGCCGAGCGAGCGCGGCTCGGGCCGGCGGCGGGAGGAGGGAGCGGGGCGAGCGGGAGGCGGGGACCGGGCGAGGAGCCGCGCCGCACAGCCGGCCCGTCAGTGACCGGCGCTGCTGGGGAGGAGGAGGCGGCGGAGGAGGAGGCGGCGGCGGCGGCGGCGAGAGATTCTCCCACCCCCACCCACCGAGCTTGAGGTGAGGCCAGGGCAAAGCATCCTCCTTTCTTCCCCTCATCCCTTCCTCCCTTTCATCCTTCCTCCCGACCTCCTTCCTTTCATCCTTCTTTCCTTATCCTCCTTCCCCTTTATCTTCCCCTCATCCTTCCCTGCGCTTCCTGGTCCTCCTTTCCTTTCTTCTCTCCTTAGCCACCTTTCTCCACTCCTCCCCATCCCCCAGGCTCCCTCTCCCCGTGCCCACATTTCGCACCCTCCAGATATAATAATCTTGCCTTCCCCCCACCCCCCCCGCTCCGGTTTTCTTTTTTTTTTTTTTTTTTTTTTTTTTTTTTAATGCAATTTCAATTCTCGCGCAGTGAAAGAACGGCAGAGGGAAAGAGACAGAATCGGTCACAGAGATAATCCCCCCTCCTGTAAAGAATGGATTTGAATTAATGATCATTTTGTGGTGTGTGTATTACGGGAAGAGGGGGATTATATTTAGGGAAGAAAAGAGAGGGTCAAAGGTGTGTTGTTTCACTTATTCATCTATTTACCCGCCATCACTTCGAGGTGAAAGCTGGCTCCGTATTATCTTAAGTAATTTTTTTTTTTTTTGGGTATTGTTTGAAATTATTCTCCTTTCTCCAGGCGTTAGAGGCTCCTTCCTCCCGTTTCTCCATCGCCCTGCGCGCCCCTGTGATTTGCAGCCGCTGCTGCTCCGGTTGTGTGAGCCGGGAGCCGGCGGGGAAGGGTCGCGGGGCTGGGCGGTGGGGAGGGGGCTGCGGGCACCTCCTCCATCCCTTCCCTTGGGCCTCTGCCAGGGTCTGAGACCTTCCCCAGCACCCGCTGCACATCCCGGCCAGCGCCCAGCCCGAGAGGTGCCGGATCCCAGCAGAGGATCTGCTCCGCTGGCGAGGAGCGAAAGTTTCAAGCGTGGCTTTGTCTTTGCGAGGAGCCGTGGGGATGTTGGCTGGAAAGCCACGGCAGCCCAAGTGTCTCCTTGTGGGGCTCCTTGGACTGGGAGAAGTTTTGCTGGGCCGTGCTGGTGATGCTGGGGAGCTGCCAGGCTTGCCTGGCTGCCGTGCCCATCTGGGAGGTGGCGTTAGGGATGCTCGGCGGGACATCCGAGTGCCAGGGCTTCGGGAAAGAAACTTTTATCCATATTTACAGCGGGGTGTAGCGTGAGGAGGCAGGCTTTTCCTTCTCTGGAGGTTGGGGGGGGTGAATGCCCTCCCTCGTGATGCCTGGGTTCTTTTTAAGGTGATGCTCTGTCACTTGGGGGTTCTGTCTCTCTCCCGTGGAGCATTGATTTGATTGCAAGCGTGCTTTGCCTTTTCAAACTTCTGCTTGCTGAATTTGAAGTTTGTTCATTCCTCACCAGGATAGAAACATTTCAGTCCTCTGTTTTAGAAATCCACAGATTCCACGCAGCTGATGCTACAGCACAACTCTGTGAGCCTGGATATTTAACGTGTATGTTGTACATTACCTTGGCATGTATTCCTGAAAAATGCTGGGCTTGTCAAGACTGCCGTGAGTGCTGTGTGTGTTTTGGAGTGCCAGGTAGATGAGGAGCATAAACAGGGGCAGGCTCAAACGATGCTGCTGATGCAAACACCAGATTTTTCTGGTGTTGTGGCTATTACAGTGCTGCTGTTTTTCCTTTCTTACCTGTAGTAGTGCCTGTGGTTGATACAATGCATTGTAGCAGCCTTCTCCTACTCTAGGTCAAACAGGATCCTTTCTAGAGGAGAAAAAGTACTGATGTGAAGGGTGAAGTTCTGCACTCAATTGTGTAAATGCTTGTTTACAGAAATACCACCTCAGCTGGGTACAAGGTAGCTCTAATTCCATTAATAGGCTCTGCTGGTGACAGAAGCCTCAACAGGAAAGCTCCAGTGTCACTCCAGCCTTTACATGGAAATACAACTGTAATTCATGCAGATTTTCTGAGAGCTCTTTTAATATTAATGTTGAGCATGCATGGTACTGCTGAAATGCCTTTGAAGCACTGAAAACCAGGAGTATTTGTAGACTGAGGCTCGAAAGCCAAAGGAAGCAATTAGATCTCCTGCTCTGACCCCTGACTGTTGTAGTCAGTTGGATTTCATCCAGTTACTCTTGAATGCAATAACGTGCGTTTGGCCGAAACATGTTTTCCAGAAAAATTGGAATTTTGATCGGAAGGCAGTGAGAGGTAGAGAATCTGCTGTTTATTAAGTTATTTGGCTTCAGCTTCTAGTCACTGGTTAATGATGTGCCTTTCTCCACTATGCTAAAGAACTCAAAGTATTTTCTTACCATGGAAGTATTTATCTGCTGTAACCCAGTATGCCTTCTCTTTTCTACTTGAAAAACCAAGTGAACTGAAATTCTTTAAATTTGTCACTGCATGCATTTTCCTCACAACTCCGTTTCTGGGGATTGTTTTTTCCGAATCCACTTTTTCAGCATTTTTATGAAAACGTGAGCTGGATGCAGCACACCAGAGCCTTGTCTCAGGAGTGTTTTGTGTGTTTAAATATTACTTCTCTGGTGTTACTCTCCTGCTTCTGCTTCACATTTACATATTAAACCTTCATTTGCAGCCCTGCATTTTGATCTCCTTTTCTCTGGGTACTCTCACTGTGGCAAATCCTTTGCAGGACTGTTTTTTTCTACAAGAGTTCATTATTCCCTAGACTGGCATGCGTTTTTCTGATTGCAGCTTTGTAACTTTGTATGTGGCTTTTTTAAATAACATTTTGTTTCTAGCATTGATTGATTATACCCAACACTCCTGATGGCTTTTTGGAACTGATTTATCTCAGTTATGTAGCGCTCTATCAATTTATACTTGTGCAAGTTATGTCATGATTTATGGTGTAGACTTACAAATAATTGAAAAGGTGTTTTGTGGTAGTGGCTCTGCCTTTGGGGAGCTCCATGTTAATGTGAGTTATCTTGTGATGAGTTCTTCTCAAAAGCTGCTCTTTTTTCTTTTTGAGATGTCACTGAACCAGTTCTTCACCAGTTTAATTGGTTCTGTTTGGTTGTCAGGCTCTCACAGAGCACTGCACCAAGTGCCAGAGAAGTTTATACAGGCAGACAGCTATTTCTGCCAATTGGAAGTATCAGTCATATCAAAGAATTAAACCACAATCATTTTAGAAAGTCAGCTTTCATTGTTTTACTTCCTATTATTTGTTATAGAGCTCGGAGGTATCAGTTGAGTCCCCTATAATTTCTCTTAAATTATTGTTTTGCTCAGACCTGCCATTGTTCTAACCTTGCTATGGTTACAACCACAGCATGTTTGTAGCCTAAATGTTCATTCAGACTGCTGGAATTAACCCAGGATTTTCAGAATTCCTAAAAATCCGTGCTGGTAGGACAGAGAACTCCTTGGCCACTCCTGAGAGTGCTTCTCCATGGCGATCTTTGGTCCCGCTCACCAAAAAATATTTACTGCAAAGTAACACTGTTTTAACATTGTATTTGCAATGAGATGGAAAATAATTAATGTTCTCATGAGGTACCAGGGAATCATCAACTTCTTTGCACATGCAGAATTACTTTTTGAATGTAAGTGCCCTTTTGCACTATTGGTGTAGCTCAGAGTCCCTGTTTAGCACCACACCTGTGTGACAGCTGAGATTTCTTTTGTTCCTGAAGTTCCCCCCTGCTTTTTTCCTTCTGCCAAGAAATGTCTTCATCCTCACCTATTAGTTTTTTTACACCTACTGTTTCAAAAAGTAGGAATTTTTTATCCCTTAACACTTTTCATCTTGTTACATATGAATTATAACCACAGTATTTATTGAAATCTGTTTGTGGCCAAATTGTAGTAGTTATGACAATGCCTTGCAGGTATTACATGCTGTCTGAACACACCAGCATAAGATATCTTCTTTTTTTCTGTCTAGAGCAACAGAAAGACATTTTATTATATTTTAGGTGAGTAGGCTGTGCTTTTAATACAGCGTACTAAAAGGCTTGGCTAAACAAAGCTGAAGTCTTTATTCAACTTGCACCACAGTTTGTTCATAGGTGTATAAAGCAAAGGAATACTTTGAATTTAGATACAATATCAAATGGTTATGGAAAGATGAAGGGCAGCTATACAGAAATAATAATAAAATCACAGAATGGTTTGGGTTGAAAGAGACTTTTAAGATCATCCAGTCCCACTCCCCTGCCATGGGCATCTTCACTATCCCAGCTGCTCTAAGCACCAGTGTCCAACCTGGCCTTGGACGCTTCCAGGGATCCAGGGGCAGACACAGCTTCTCTGGGCACCCTGTGCCTCACTCACAGGCAAGCAGAAATAAATAAATAATGTGATATGCAGTTGGAAATGAGAAGGGCAGTGTGCAGAAATGAAGAGTAGCAGCACTAACCTGTTAGTCATTACAGTGGCATGCTTAGGACATAACTTGATGGAAGCTTTTGTGGGTCAGGAATTGTTCCCTTAGAGCTGCTTTTGATAAGATGCAAAAAGGGGATAAAAAAGACCAGAAAGGGAAGATGAAAGTTACAGAAAGTTGTATGTTTCACAGGAGGGTGAGCGCTAATCCTGACTAAGGTAAACTTGTTGATTTTGTATAAACGCTACATTTGCTACATTTGTTAGGATTAAATACTCTGAAAACATTTCCACACCAGCAGGCTGCTGCAGGGGCAGCTGAGGCTCTCGTTCCTCTCTGGAGCTCCAGTACTGATGGGTGAGATCCTCCAGCTGCATCAACAACACCTGAACCTGACTGAGAGCAAACTGCTGCTGAGCCTAGCCTGCCCTGAGCAGTGGTGGAAAGTAAAAGAGACAGGATTTTTTAAAGACTAGTGTAAAAAATGTTGAAGTGACAACAAAGACCAGAAACCAGTTTTTTTGTTGTTGTTNTTTGTATTAAAAAAGTGGTTGATAACTCAGTTAACACCATTGTAAGTTCTGATGCTCCCAATAAAAGGACATGGAATTGTTGGAGCAAGTCCAGAGGAGGGGAAAGAAGCTGCTAAGGAGACCAGAGCATCTTCCCCATGGAGGCAGGTTGGGAAAGTTGGGCCTGTGCAGTCTGGAGAGGAGAAGGTTGTGTGGAGACCTCACAGCACCTCCCAGTATCTGAAGGGGCTGCAGGAAATCCAGGGTGGGATTCATCAGGAGCTGCAGTGACAGCACAACGAGTGATGGGTTCAAACTGAAAGAGGGGAAACCTAGGTTGGAAATACAGAGAAATTCATCCCTGGGAGGGTGGGCAGGCCCTGGCACAGGGTGCCCAGAGCAGCTGTGGCTGCCCCTGGATCCCTGGAAGTGTCCAAGGCCAGGCTGGACCCTGGGGCTTGGAGCAACCTGGGACAGTGGAAGGTGTCCCTGCCACAAAAGGGTCACCTTTTGGTGGAACAAAATGGTCTTTGATGTCCCTTCCAACCCAAACCACTTCATGACTCTATTCTGTTTTTAAGTTGTTGCATTGTACCTTCTTACTCTCTTAGAGGAATCCATCATACATCTAAATATATCCCTGTTGTATCAAGGCTTTGGTTGGGCAGGCTCAGCACTTTCCAGCTGTAAATGAATTTTGTATCGGGTTTCTGCATAAGAGCTCTACATCTCAGTTTTCTCATGGTTTCCTCAGCATCACACACGAGTGAGCAGTGATATCTGGTTCCAAGCAGTGGTTGGATACAGAAAGGCTTTCATGAATGTTTCCAAACACTAGGATAGGTTGAAGTCATATTTATGCAACAAAAGATCAGCTGTTCTGGGGAAATAAACTGTTGTGACCATCAGTTACCAGTACAATTGGTTGTGAGGCAGGATTTTTGTGTTCCTTGTGTTTTGAATAATTTTTTTGTTTTGGTATTAAACGAGCAGGTGGGTTTTAAAATTGCCAGCAAAATGAACAATCTTTCCCCTAGCAGGGCTCTCCCTTCTCCCCCCAGCCCCCATACACATTTTATTGTTTCAGATGTCTTGTGCTGTCATCAGACAAAGCATTTTGACTTTGTGAGGGGCAGGAGGAGAGCTTTCCTGTAGTTTTTTGTTGGTTGTGTGGACAAAGCACACCTTTCCTTGAAGTACTTTACCTCTGCTGAATCAGCATTTTCTGATAGCCAGGTTTGGGGTTTTCTTTTTTGCTTTTTTTTTCCTCCTTTGGAATATTTTTTGTTTAGCTGTGCTTTTCAGCCACATCACCCCCTGCATTAGTATTCTGGTACAGAGAACAGTGAAGAGACATTTTCAATGCTGCAGCAGAGACTGCCCAAGTTTTGAGGCTTCTTAAGTAATGAGAATTGCTCAGTTAAGTGAAGCTGAATCCTGTAATATTAAAAACATCTCACAGGGATTGCATTTGAGAGGTAAGAAAAACAGTAGATTTTGTAGTTATACAAAAGAATTTCTGTGTTCAGAGTATTTTAAAGATATTTTTGTGGATACTCCAGTCTGCTGTTTTTACTGATGTTACAGTCAGTATTATATGACATTTCTTTCTCCTGTGGTCTTGTCCTTTTCTTTGAAACTTTATATTAAAAAAAACAACAAGCATATGTTACAATATGCTTAGTGCAGACAAGAATATTCAAATGGAAGGCAATTTAAATGTAAGTGGAACTTAAATTCTGAATACAAAAAGTGGAAGTGGTTTTGGTCAGGGGAGGTTCCCAGCTGCCCAGGTGACTTCTGTAAATGGGGCTTAAGCTTTTAAGTTACTTAAAGCTTCTAAATGGATTTTTCACTTAGCCCTTTTCTACAACTAATCAAGCTTAATTTTTAATATGCTGTTGTTTACTAACAAAACCCACTCTTCCATATTCCATTTTTATGGCATTTCTTCATTAAAACCCATTCAGCACAGCAGGAGCAGCTGAATCTCTCAGTTCTCTCAGTTGTGTTGTAAGGAAAGGATCAATTGGAAATATTCCTTATGTTTTAAATACAGAAGCTGTGTCCATCCTGTGCAGAGCTGACAAAGCCACTTTTATCAATTCTACGTGTCTTTTCAAACATCAAAAGAAACTCCAAAAAGGCTTCTTCCTAGAGATATTACTTTCAAGTTAGACTGTGGAGTAAAGCACTTAAAAAATGGAGTAAAATGTTGGTAAGCACTGGTTTTGGTTCTGTTGGAGTTCCATCATGTCAGTGGCAGTAGTTGTGTCCTTTACAGAGGATCCACACTAAGAAAAATGAATAAACTCTTTCAAATAACTTTCATAAGAATTATTTGCAAATAGGTAATCTGAGACACTTGTTTTTATGTAATTAGGTTTTTTTTTTCTCCTTTGCTATTTCTAGAAAAAAAATTGCTGTAAGCTTCTTGGGATAGGGAAATTTCTTCTTCCAGGCTGTTCTGTAACTTTAATTCAAAGGGTTCTGTAAATTAATATTTTTAAGTAAATGAATAAATAAATCAACAGAAAATAGGTGTGATGACCTCTGCTATTAAATACTAACTTTCTTGAATGTTATTATCAGATCTTTCTTCCAGATATAAAATTACCAGCTGTGATAAGTTACTCATGGTTAATTCTTCATGATATTTATTGAGAAACTTTGTATATAGAACCCAAATACTATTTTTTTTTCCGCATCTCTGTAAAAAAGCCTACTATGAAAATGGCTATTTCATTTTTTACAAAAATAGAACAAGATTGATTGTAACATTTTTATTGTGACAGACTATTTAAGTAAAATTTTGTCATCTGTTCTTGGTTTTGATAGAGAATTTATCGAAGTGCTTCATAAATTCTTATCCCATGGTTACAAATGTTGACAGTTCATATAAGAGACTGTAGAGGCTTATAAGGAAAGGTATAAAATGGATAACAACTAAAATATGAAGTGAGAAAAATCCAGGGTGATCAGGAGAATAGTTCTTCCATTTGTAAAATATAGGAAGGATGATTACTTTAATTCTTGCAATTAAAATCCACAGGCGACTCTTTAAAATGAAGTTATAGAATAGCAAAGAAACAACTTCCATAAAAGTGCCATTTATTACCCTTTTTTCCCCCCCTTAATGGGGTCAAAGTGAAAGAGATTCATATATTTTTATTGCAGCATATTAACTCCTTTCTAATTCTTGTGCAGAAAGTCTTCAGTGCTTACTATAATCAAGTCAGAAATGCAAATGCAGAATTACAGCTGCTTAGTCTAATTTTAAACGTCTCTATTATCTCCGTCATCTACATTGCCAGTGCCTGGATGCTCCCAGAAATACTTCTAAGAACAAGAAATCCTCAGGAAGCCTGTGAATGAAGGAGGATGAGGTGGAGTAGGGAGAGAATCAGGATAAAAAGGCTCTGACAAATGTCCTGCTGCTGGGAGGCTGCAGAGTTTTCAGAGCTGTTCCTTGCCTTGCAGGGGTGGCCCCTGATCCCCCTAAAATTCAAGCTGAGTTTCATTCAGTGAGTTTTGGACTCTTGGCTTTGCTAAGTGTTGTTTCTGGGTCACATCTGATACCAAGCGAGAACAGGAAGGTGAAGAAAAGGGAATCCTGGGATTTAATTTTCCCTGCATGGCTTGGGGAGTGTGGAAACTCAAAATGTCCCTCAGACATTTTTGGATGTTCCGGGCCCAGGTCAGAAGCATTTGTGACCCTGGCAGGCAGCTGGAAACAGCTGTGATTTTGGGTTTGAACCATGGAATGAGTTACCAACTTTGGAGGTGGAACAAGCAGTCACAAAAGTTTAGATATTATAGTAGAAGTAGTCACAAAGTAGAGGGAAGAATTTTTGATTGCTTCTACAGGGGGGTTTTAACACCTGTACAGGGGGGTTTTTACTTTGTACATGGGGGTCAGAGGTTTTAAGATGGAGGGATCTGGGCCTGCCCTGTCCTCCCTCTTTCTTCTTCCTTACCTCCATGTTCTTGGTGATGTTGGCACTCACAGATTGGTTTAGAGTAGAAAAGCACCATTTAATATAGGTAATAGGCATTGGGGAAAACTGTAAACATGGAACACGCAATGTACCATATAAAAGATAGAAAATCACCGTTTAATATAGGTAATAGGCATTGGGGAAAACTGTAAACATGGAACACGTGATGTCCCATATAAAAGATAGAAAAGCACCATTTAATATAGGTAATAGGCATTGGGGAAAACTGTAAACATGGAAAACATGGAACACGTGATGTCCCATATAAAAGAGAGCAGCAGCCCTGGGCAGGAGAGAAGAAGCAGTCGGAGTCAGAGAGGATGTCAGGGTGTGTGTGTGCCTCTGCCTGAGCTCTGAGCAAACTGCAGCAGCCCCAGAAGAAAATCTTGTAGATAACTTGCAATAAACAACCATGAGACCAAACAACAAGAGGCTGCTGAGCCTTTCTTTGGAAGCATGGGTTGGAGGAGAAGTTTTTCCAGCACACGAAGCCTCACCTCAACCTAGGGTGGTCTTCGATGGGGGAGAGTTCTGTGCGTGGCTGATGCAGCAAACTGAATCCCTCCATGCTCTCCCACACTAGTTGCATCCTTGAACATCTTAAAAGTTGTTTTTTTTTCTTTCACACTAAATTCCAATCCTTGCATTCAGGCCTGAGCCCAGGGGATGCAGGTGAGTGTAGAGGAAGTGCTCAGGTGCTTTCTAGGTGCTAAAGAGCAGTGGGGACACAAGTCCTGAGCAGGATTGTCTTCTACTCATGCAGCATCAAATCTTATACACATTTTATCATTCTCTGTATGCTTTCCTCATCCTCTGAATAACTGAAGTGCATTTCCAAAGCATTTTCTGCAAATACTTTATGGTTTGCTTTATTCTAATTCTGTACTTACTACCAGTTTTGTTTACAAATTCAGCCTAAGAACTAAAGAATGTCTGTGTTCAGATATTTACCTTCATTTGGCTGGGTAAGAAACAACATTTTATTATTGTTTTTAATTATATTTAATATATTTAATTATAATTTCCTTAATGTGATCAGTGAAACTATCACCTTGCTTCTTGTGAAGTCTTCTTGGAACGCCAGGCAAAGGTATTGAATGGTCCCAGGTGATCTCAAACGCTGCAGCACAACCTAATTTACATGACAGAGTAGTATGGAAGCATACATTTTGTGCAAACATAGCCAAAAAGCCTTCAGAATTAATGTCTTGAAGTAGTTGAGAAAGCTGAGTGACTGTAGTAGCCATGGTAACTTTTTTCCCTGTTGCTTTTAAGTAGAAACCTCACTGATTACAAGGCTGTGCTTGAGCCTTGAGCTGGGGATCTGCTCAGCAAACTACAAATGTGGTGGCAGCAAAGGAAAAATCCCAGCTAGCTGGACAGATTGAACACAGGGAGAGCAGTGTGGATTGGATGCAAAAATAGTAGGCTTGCAAACACAATTAAGCTGAGAGCTCTAATTGTGGCAGAGATGCTTTTTTGGAGGCTCCACACTGCATGTTCTCCTTTTTTGCTGCTCGTTTTAGAACTGTTTTGGCTTGACATGTGCTGAAGCTGCACATCCCCTTTAGCTCAGATGCTGCCAGACACTGACTTTGGACTGACAGATCCTTGCAAACTTGGTTTCATCCTAAGGGTGGAGTCAGCTTAACTTTATTTTAATTGTTTTATGGCTTTTGGGTTCATGAGAGTGATGCTGAGATGCACTGACAACATGAGTGTGTTCAGGTCTCTTGTCAGCTTAATGAGTTTATTTTTGCTGGGTGGTTGACAGTCAGCCAAAAGAAACAAAAAAAAATCACATAGCCCAAGAACAGCTTCTTGGCTGGTTTTTCATAAAAAGATCAGTCAGGAGGAAGAGGAAACACTAGAGATGGGTATTTTTAATATCTGGTTTCCATAATGGTGTAAAAATGGGGATCTCTTAATTTTGCTCTCTCTGCACCATAAACACATTAGAAGTGGTGTGAGGTCTATTCTGTTGCCATGATAGCCAGAAAAAAGATTTGTGCCACCCTTGGGGTGCTGCAGGATTTGTGATGTCTAAAAGCTTTTCCTGGTCAACCCTTGGGAGATAATACACAGTAAGTAAATATAAGTTTCTTGAAACAGAGTGAGATGGGCTGTGGAATGATTAGGACATGGGTGGATCAGAAAAATCAATGTTTGAATATACACAAAAGGAACCCTTAAGGCAGACTGAAAACAGCCTTCCCCAGAGAAATACCATAGGAAATGTGTAAGGGCAAGTTCTGTTTCTGGCACCTGGGATGGGACAATCCTGGATGTGTGGATGTGTGAACAGAATGGGGAATGATATCCAGCTCAGGATATTCTGTGATTCTATAAAATAACACATTACAGTTTAAACACTTCAGGTGTGCTTAAAATTAATACTGAGAATTGCACAGACTGATTACATCTCCAAAAATTTTGAGTGACCTTCTACTCACCCCTTGGCTGGGCTGGTTCGGATGTTT